GTTGGCAAAATAGGTTGGCTCGGGAGGGATTCAAGACTTTGGGTCCCGTTTTAGCTAGGCTTTGAGGCAGTGGTGACCGGGGTCTCAATGTCTTCATCTCCCTTTAGCTGACTTTGGTTCTTGGGTGCTCCTGGAAGCTTTTTGCCGGGGGAGAGATGTTTTTTACTTCTTTGCTTAGGTGTCGTTGTTTTGTTTTCTTTTAGTTTTCATTGCATCTTTCATGGTGTTTTCGGTTTGGGTCCCTTGACCCCAGTTTGCCTGGGAAATTAGTTCGTATTCGGCTTCTTCCTCGTCTGTGACTGTTCTCCGTCGGCTTGGTCTGTTGGTTTTGCTGTGGTTCGGAGATGATTACAGGCTAGGCATTGTGCAGTGGCTCTGTTTTTTATTTTCCTTTTATTTTGTTTGCGGAGTTCTTTAGTCCGCCATGTGCGTGTCCTCTCAGTTTTCTATTCATGTTTGTTTAGTAGGGTGTTTTTGGTTTGGGCCATTGGCCCCTGTCTTATTCTCTATTGAGGTCTTAGATATTACCCTGTTGGGGTCTTGTAATTTGTACCTTTTGCACTTTGGTGCTTTTCTATATTACCTCTATCGTTCTGACAAAAAAAAAAGAAAAAAAAAAGAAGAATCATCATTAGTATGAAAAGAATTTCGTATATTAATATTAATTTTAAATTGTTTTTACTGATACATGACACTTTAATAAAATCATTGTCATTTCTTAGAGTTTCATTTAGAATTAATAAACATATTCAACATATATCAATGAATAATACTCACAAGAATTATTTATCACTCTCTTTCTTAGTCATACCTTATTACAATATCAATGAATAATACTCACAAGAATTATTTATCACTCTCTTTCTTAGTCATACCTTATTACAATATATTATTTTGATGCCTTAAAAATATTATGGTAAAGATGACATATTGTGGAAAATATTATAAATTGACACTAATTTTTTTTTTATAAAAAAAAGCATGGTGATTCTTGGCTTTGGAGGGGATGGCTTTAATAAAAGTGTGACACTCCGACCGGCTGAGAGTCGTCTCGATCTTGCTATCCTCGCCGATAGAACGTCGAGACCTGCACGAAACTCTCACACCAGAGAAACTTTCTGGTGAAGAGCATCTAACGCTCAAGTCAGTCTTGAGAAATATTATAAGTGGTAATGAAATGTTTGAGAGATTGATTGTGGAACGATAAACCTCACCCCTATATATAGGGGTACGATACCTGCCCTACAAGCTGCCCGGATTGGCTGAACTGGCTGCCCGACCTGTCCGATCGTACAACCACTGGTACATGCGCCCAGAATATATAAGCAATGTGTCAGAAACAGTTGTGAATATAGGCCAATCTGATTCTGCCTGGGCACATGAGTAGAGATTCTCTCCACGTTCCTTCAAAGACTCTTATCTTCGATCACACCTGGACAAGCTGCCCATTCTCTCCTGGTGCATGAAGTGGTCGATCACTCAACCATCTAACTCGTCGACCACAAGGTTGTTTGTTCACATCGGTCTGATCCTTCTCGATTCCTGTTACTACGATCTATCATCGGTTCGCATGAACTTTGTTCGACCAGATCGGCTCCTCCGGTTCGCTTCACCGACCAGCTGGATCATCTAGTCCCCCTACTCTGGTTGAGTCTTTATGACTTGATCTAAGAGTGAATCTTAGTCCGCCTTGTGCTCATCATTCCCATCTTCGTCTTCGACCAAATGGTATATTATTTGCTCCTTCTTGGTCCTTAATATCCTCAACCGCATTTTGAATTTTGAAATTCAAATGTTGTCACATGTCTCTCTTTTTAGGCGCGTCTCTTCACCTGTCGGGCCTCATCATTACCTCGTTATCCATGTCGCTTCGTACTTCGTTCCCTTTTAAAAACTCCTTCAATAACATCCATTGGATCGACGCCTTTAATCCCACGGTTGATATCACGGTGCATGTTCATATGTCTCTTAATCGTCCATCTATTCTCAATCTAACGGTTGACAATCTGTCCTCTTAATTTTTGTCTCTTATAAATACCCTAACCCCTACACTTAGAATTTTTTTAATTTGCAAACTTTCGCACTCATATCTCCCTTAGCTTCTCTTGCTAGATCGAGCATCCCTGCAACTTCAAATTCTTCAGTTCCACCGCAAGCTTCCTACCATTCACAATGAGTAAGTTCTCTTGATCTTTATTTTGTGTATTTTTGTCAAATTTTTCGAATTTTATCTAATTCCCCTTTTTCAATCTCTGCGACTCCGAATTTATCCCGTTCTGTGCAATTCCTAATTCTTTTCCCTTCTCATCTGCAAAAATCCTTGGACTTCTCTCTCCTTGTATATATATATATATATATATTATATTTTCTTTAATTTCTTCTTCTTTCTTTTTTCTTCAGATTATGCAACCTCGAGTGAAAACGACCACCACAGCGGCAGGGATATGACCTATCCTTCTTTTTCCTCGACCCATAGCCTTTCCAGTAATTCCGTTGAGGAAATCCTCCAAGTTCAGCCCATAACCATGATTCGACCAACCCTACCTCCCCAAAGTCCCTCGACAGACGTTGTTTCTCCTTCATCTTATTTGGCCGACAACCCAGATGAGGGTGCTACCAGTCATCCTCCTCCTCCACCTCCTAAACGTCCTCATTGTTGTAAATATTTTCCGGAGTAGAATTGAAAGATTCGAACACCGGGCCGTGTCTCTCGAGAAAGGTTAGCTGGAAAATTCTGTATGATTATTAAAGCACAAATAGAAAGAATAAAATACCTATATATTCTAATTCAAAGATTGGTTGTTTTTCATTATCAACTACTACAAATAATTAAATAAAGCAATAAAAATAGCAAAGCAACGAAGAACAATAAGGATTTGGGAAGCTAGGGAGTCGG